GATAAGAAATCCACTTCTTTCATACTTAAATACAAAAGTTTTGTTGCAATAGCACAACAAAGGCAAACGTTTGACATCATCATCATTCTGGAAGCATTTATTTCGGATCCTTAAATCATGACTACTCTAGTTGTTTCTACCTGGGGCGTTTCCCTGGTGTTCAGTGGACTTACAATACTCCTCCATGTTACTTGCAAGAGGGATCCAAAGAGCAGTCCTATGAGGCAGCACTAAAACCAGCCGCTGTCACATCCATGAGGGTGATCCGCTGACATGGCCCTCACATGAGCAGCGCAGGCGGGTGAAGTGGAGCTGGGGGTCTCCTGTGTCTCTATGATGCTTTCTGACATCTTCTATGTTCTGTGACAAGTCAGAAGCAGCGGTTTGGGTTTTGTGTTTGATTCACATAGACAAGTGCAAACATGCTAAAAGCTAACTCCGCACTGTGCTGTGACTTTCTGTCTTCAGCTTTTCCCTCTGTCTCCGGTGAATACAGGCGGCACACACAGTCTACCCCACAGATCATCCACCGATCAGGCTGGATGTCTCCCAGGCACCTTTCCTCCCAGCAGCTGCCTGGAAAGTGCTGGTCAGAATGTCACAACACAGCGTTGACAAGCTCTCCTAAGTGCTGCTCAAATAAAAATGGGGCCGCACACTTTAAACCGGAGCACAGATCACACACAGAAAGTGTGATGAGATGTAACCAGTGTGGAGACAGACATTCAACAACACCCCGGCTATGTTTTATGACTTTACTAGTTTTGGAGTTACGCTCAGCCTGAAGAGTGGCCTTTTTTTTTATTTTTTTATTTTATTATTTTTTTGGTACTATACATTCCACACACATTTGAACCCTTTTGACTTCCTTTTATGCACTTGAAACATGCTTGGAACTGAAATCTAACTCTTTGGCATAACACTTGCTTTTAGGCACTTTTACCTAACTGCATCTCAACCGATTGGTAAATATTTGTGTTGTTAAAACTTCTACATCTTATCAAAAAAAAGGAGTGAATGTTAAAGAGTTAATATCATATTTTTATTCATACTTTGGATCAGTATGAACACACACTACATATGAAAGCTTTGTTTTTATACCTGATATGGCTAGTTTCAGTAAGAGGAATTTAGTATTTAGTAGTAAATCCCCTTTTTCTGGGACGAATAAAGAATCTGTAAATCTTAGGAATACAAAAGAAATGCTTAAGATTTTTTGTTTCTTTAAATGCCATTTTTACTTGTATAACGTGATAGCACCACAAAGCAATTTCCTAGTGTTTGACTTTTGCACGATTACAGTGGAAAATGGAAGTTTACATATAAAAGTAAAGAGACGTATTAATTCCCCTCACTGTCTGACATTAAACTTCTGACTTTGCTGAAAATAATATAATTAATTCAGAAATAACATATCTCTCAATATTGTGACGAATACCAAAACAAAAAGATACAGGCAGTACATACATGGGCATGTCTGTATACTGTGAGTTCTTTCTATAATCTTTCTATAATGTAAATACCTTTTGAATATGTTGAACAAAATATACACTTCAAAATGTTCAACATGAAATCCTTGTACGTATTAACAACATTTTGACCATGACTTTGCACCTCAGCTTTTACAGAAAAGCATGAAAAACACTGCGGAGAAAATTGGAATAACTCGACCGTGAATCCAAATAAAAGCGTACTTGGCCTAATAACATATTGAACATATTTTTCTTCGGCTTCAAATGTCCGCCAGACTTTCATCTTCAAGTTATAAAATATGTCCCGTACAAAGTAGTTCAGACTTTTTTTATTCCATAATGCGTTTTTCATGAGGCCCACCACTGATGCATGCTGTCTTTCACTCGCCGACATTCTGCCGCTCGCCTCTGATCAAAATCTTTTAATTAAAAAGGACATGTTTGGTGCGGCACATTTCCTTTTGACGAGCCAAAGCGTTGTGAGCCAGCTGCCATCTGCCGCCATAGTGCTGCCACGGTGGCCTTATCCCCTGCAAGCTGTGGGAGACTGAAGCCAGACAGGGACGAGGGAAGACGCTCAGACAGAGATAAGGAGGAGAGGTGAGAAAGAAGCTCTTATTGCTAATAAAGTGGTTATCTGTCGTCTGATTTTCTGGTACAATTGTAAAACACTCCCATAACACACTACGATAAGATACCATATAATGCCATAAGATAACTATTCTTGCTCATATTCATGATATTATCAATGATATTAATACAAACATAAACATAGAAACATTGAAATAATAATACTATACATATTGTATACTTGGTAAATTTTCCTTGACTGTACATGGATATTGGCTATTGGAATATATATACTGTATATATACACATATGTATATGTAACCGAATAGACATATTGTGGTTGTGTGTGTGTGTGTGTGTGTGTGTGTGTGTGGGCCTCTGGACTGGCCTAGTGAAAACAGAACAGCTCCACAGACTGACAGAGAAGGTCACATAATCTACCCCGAGCCAGGCTGCGTCCAAAGTCTGTACCGTCCAACTTTCGTGGACAGAATATGAGAGCAACTTTTCACAATGAACTTTTCCATTAAATTAGTTAGCCAAGTGTGAAAATATGCTGCAGGGCCTGAGTATTTGCATCAAATTAAGTAATGTTTAAGTTCTTATTTTTTAATTGAAAGTGCAACTCTTCTTTTCAGCCTTCCATAACCATCTAAGATACAACTGAGACAGACTGAGACAGATGATTTATGCAAAGAGACATAATGACTTCTATTTATTTTTGGTCAGTCATTTCTTTACACTTTTCACTGAGTTTATGCAACAATATTGATGGGCAATTCTCATTAAGAGCCCATAAAGCTGGCATTCAAAGTAAAAGCAAACACTTTTTGGATGCCTCTCATTTGCCAAAGCAGAAGGTGATCTAATAAAACCCACCCCATCACACTGACTGAACTGACTGTTCAAACTCCTGTCGCTGATGGGATCCCACCTGAATTCTATGCAACATTTTGGGATCACCTTGGCCCTTTGTTTTTTGACATATTCAGGCAAACCGAGAGACCCAACCTTTTTCAAGCACCCGCAGGAAAGCTTCAGATATAGGCCCCTCCCTCTGTCGTACGCTGTTCTGAAGACCTTTCCTTGATTATTATCCTGCAGAAATCAGCCTTTTTCCCAGACACCAACTATAGCAGTCTTTTAATGGGACTGCTTTGACCGGCTAGAAAGGCAGTAACTGTGGTCCTCAGTAAAATCTTTTGGGAAAGTTTTACATTTCATAAATTCATCCAGGTAGCAGTAGCAGTATAATAATCCATCAGCTATCGTACTCACTCAAAAGTGTCACCTTTTTCTATTGCCAGGGGCTCTAGACAGGGGTGTCCTCTTGTCCACTTTTGTTTGTGCTCCCTCTGTAGCCCTTTGCATTCAAGTCCCATGCACTTCCCTCTCAGATTTTACAGTGCTGTATCTTAATAGGGCAAAGGCCACACCTTAAAACCATCCACTCGCAAAACTATCACTTTGCTGTTGTACTGTGTCTTGTGTGCTTGGTTTAAAAAGATAAATAAATCGACAAATAGATTTGAACTTCTACATAGGACTTAACTGAACATGACATATTGCTTTTTTATAAAGTGTGAGTCAGACCCCGACCTGCACTTCGTGCCATGGTGGAGGTACCACATAGTCTGGATACAATCCAGACAGGTATATCCATTAACAGGCATTGTTCCAACCAAATAAATACTATAGACGTATAAACAGTAATTGTAATATTAACTGTAAATCTGTATGTAAATGAATACATTGCTGTGCTTCATTCTATTCCATTTCTGTGAACACGTTGCATACACCCAGCTATGAAACATTTTCCCCATGTCAAAACGTCTTAAAGTGCAGTGAAGAGAGAGAATATATTATGTGGAAAAGAATAAAGCTAAAGACCATTATAGAGTTATGAGACTTTGTAGTAATTACGCCGGTCCCACGCAGCAGCAGTAAAAATCATACATTCTGTCAGTGGTTGGACGGAAGGTAAATGTTGTGTGTAGAAATACCCTGGAGCTAAAGCGATCTGACAGTCCGTGGCTGGGAATGAGTCTATAATGAGATCAACATGACACGAGTATGAGCCATCAGGAAGAACAAATCCCTCCGCACAAACTACCCTTCCTCTAAACATCCTGACTCAATATGCAGCGTGTCCTGGCTCAGCTTCTCTGAGTGATAAGAGCAACGAATAACTCAACTTCAAACCCGTTCAAAAGGTTCAAATCCCTGTAATCTACGGCTGGCTTCATCGTGAGCTGTGTTTTAAGTACCACTGGATTAAACTCTTAATGGTCATCATGAACAATAATCCCAGCATATCCTGCGTCTAATCCTGAAAACTGCTCAGTGCAAGTCAACTAAAATGTGCTTTTAAAGAGCCATACTGTAAATGTGTGACGTGATAGCGCGATGGCGTGTTTACAGTAATTATGGATGTTTTGTGATTGGCGCAGCTCTACGCTGATTAAAAACCCACAGTAAATGAAAAAGCCGGCACATAAAAAGGCCAGTTGATACTTGACTTTCACTGTATCTGACATGTTCATTCAGGTTTGCATGAGCCACAGACACTTCTACCAGGGGCTGTGTTCAATATGTAATTTGACATGAATTATGTATATGATATAAAATTGTCACCAACTGACTACTATGGCTTCAGCACGAATCCAAGTGTCATAGAAAGTCATGTTCCCCGGTTTATGGGTTTGCTCTATCTGTGATTTCATCGGCAAAAGATGCTCTACAAAAGATTACTTTCAGAACAGTAAGAAGAGATTACCCTTAATTTTTTGTCTTTCTTTTGACAGCAGGTTTTCGATTCAAGTCGAGTCTAATCCACTTGACTATGCAAATGAAAAACATGTTTGCAAACGCCATCACTGTGAAGACCTCAAACTGGCAAATTAAATTGGCAGTGACACAAGACTCATATAGTTAGTCATAAAAAAAGTCTTATAATGTCTAAGCCGTGGCAGCCGTGAAGGACAAACCCTGAAGTGCCCAATAACTGTTGTACGCCAGCTGGGGAGAGTCCAATTGTGTTGGAAATACATTGTCTGATTGCACGATGCTCCTCGATGGGCACAGTGGTGAGCTTCTCTATTAGCCTGCGCTCGTTCAGCAAAAAACATTTAAATGATCCAAGAAATCACACAATGCATTTTCAAATATGCTGCTGTTTCTGCAAAATTCTGCCTTCAGTATGTGTAGCCCTAGGCTTTTTGTCGAATAAAAAAATGAGACTTTAGCATGGCAAACTACGATTCATGATAACTGTCCTGGATCTATAAAATCACTTCTCAAAACGTAATATATGGGACACTGCTTGCCGTGAAGAACAAAGTTAAGGTATAAATCAAGAAATTGCTTTGTTTTTGTTATGGTGTGTACTCCACTTCTTCCACCATTGCTAAAGGTTACCAAATAAGAGTAACATCTATTAGCCACACAATGCATTTAACAATCTTGCCTCTGCTCAGGTTTCCTTAAAAAGGCTCTGTTGTCATCTGAGGTGATTAGACCTTGGAGTCTTTGGGCTTGGTTTTTGACAGAGAGCTGCGGGTCAAGGTCAGGTGTTGTGTTGAACAAGTTTACACCTCCTCGCCTCCTTCACAGCTCATTTTCCTGACAGGCCGAGGAGTTTGCTGCATTACAGCTCTGCTCCATTATTTATGAAGGATTGGGAATGTGGGATTTGAACTATTGCAACGGAGGCGCCTTCTAGGATGCCCACTTTCAGTGTGGCTTGGCAGATGTATAGAGGTATTCACTTTAACTTTTCATCAAAATGGTTGGATGGAGTGTTGGAGAAAGGATAAGAGATAAACAATTGAAGAGGTGTGAGTCAGATGACACGCTCTGTGGCAGCAGGGCGCACTACACTCTATCTGCACATATCCCTAATTATGAGAGGCCAGCTGTTTGTGAACACACAGAATATATGAAGCTCGTCTCCACAATGAAGAGAGGCAGCTGTGGATTCAGAGCCAAAAGCCCAAACTCTGATGGATTTGGAATTTCAATTTCAATTGAAAAACTGAGCAGCCTTTTCAAGCAAAAACAAACACTTTTGACATCTCATTTAACAACAACTTGTAAAAATGCATAGAATTTATACAGCGCGTTTCACAACACCCAACACTACACATTACCTTATTCATTCACTATGTACACGGTAGAAGTAAACTACTGCTGTAGTCACTTCTCTCCTAAGGCAGACACAAGAAAGGCAACTAATCTGTGCCATTGGCCAGTCTGACCACCACCAATCCATTCATTCACACACCAGACTAATAGTAGATAATATGGGTGAAGAATCTTGCCTCAGGACACAACATTGCAGTTTGGAAATTTACTTCTGCTCCTCTGTGGCAACTTTGTGTTCCCAGAGGTTTCCCATCACAGCACTAGCCTGACCCTGTCCTGCTTAGCCTCTGAGGTCTGACTGTCTATTCACCTGTAGTTTTAACAGGCACTATACAACTGAGTAGGTAATATGCCTGGTGCTTTGTGAATTGGGTGGTAGCTCTGATTGCCACTCCCCTGACCCAGAAATGGATTAATAAAGAGATGAAAATTAATGAATGAATGAGTGACAGGAAAATATTTCACACCTATAAATTGTTGTTTCCGCTTTTATAATGAACAATTATTCTAAATTTCTCACAGGCATTAAGTAAAACAAATTATTTTAAGGATTAACCTTAAGAAGAAAATAAAATGCTAGACAAATAAAAAAGGGAAAAGATAAGAAGAGAAGGTTTTAAAAAGAATGAACACAGTGTGGTTTATGTGGAATTTAGATTAATATTTTCATATAGCACGCCTCCCTGGGGAGGTGTTTCGGGCACGTCCCACCGGGAGGAGGCCCCGGGGAAGACCCAGGACACGCTGGAGGGACTATGTCTCTCAGCTGGCCTGGGAATGCCTTGGAGTCCCCCCGGACGAGCTGGAGGAAGTGTGTGTGGATAGGGAAGTCTGGGCGTCTCTGCTTAGACTGCTGCCCCCGCGACCCGGCAACGGATGAAGCGGAAGAAAATGGATGGATGGATGGATTTTCATATAGATCTTCAGGATGTGAGACAGGCCTCCTCTCTGACAATGTTTAAAACCAGGTTAAAAACGGTTCTGTTTAGCTGTGCATACAACTGAGGGATTTTATATTTTTATCTTTCTTTTTAATGTTCTGTGATTATTTATGATTTTAATGCTTTCTTGCCTAGAATGTCTGCCAATCTTTGTTTGCAAGTTCACTTAGCCACAGTGCTCCTTTACAACTGTAGTAATTTAGACATGCAATGTATGTCCGGGCAAGATGCTTCATTATCCAAATGTGGGAGAGAGTTCCTTGCAAACACCTAATTAATATAGCACTTATATCCTAAATAAATAATTGCCATGTGTTTGAGTGTTATCATGTTTGTGATTGTTCATGGGACAGAACCTCAGCACACGCCCCCATCAAGCTGTTCCACAGATTTGGTTACATCATTTACCAGTTGCGTAACTTTCTGTGTTTAACATGGATTAAAGAACTAAACTCTCGTAATCCCAATGCTCGTGGGCATTGGAAACATATTTTAATTCGGGGGTGAGCCATAACGTAATAGTAAATTAACAAAGTGAGGAATATGTCTAAAAAAGAGTTCTAAAACCCCTTTGGAAAGTTACTGGTGAAAGTCATTTGGCTGCAATTAAAAAGAAGAGAATGCAAACAACCATAAATTATTAAATGTTTACAACTGAAAATATGACATACATTTAGCCATCACAGCAACAGCGAGAAGCAAACAGCTTTAATGCGGTCAAAATATTTATAGGTTATAAGATACACTAAAAACCTATTAGAAAGATTATATTAAACTTTTCCCAACTAGCCCGGGTTCCCTAAAATAAATACTGTACATTGCCATATGTTTTGTTTACTTTTCAGATTCGGATTAGAAATTATAGTGGGTGGATCAGACTTTAGTCTGAGCTTGATGTGGGAACATTGTTGTGAAACACATTTGAGTATTGAATGTTGCACAAACAAAAATAAAACCTGTTCTTTGCGCATTGTATGAAGTAGGCATGTTACTATTTATCTAGCCTAACTGGGTATGTTCGTCTTCCTCTCAGCCTTCCCTTCAAAACAAGCTCATTCCCGGACTTTTCAGTGCTATGGTTTGGGAGGTAGATCAAGTTGACTAAAACATGCGCACCCAACTTTATCGCTCCAGTCATATACAGAAGATATCTGTGCGTCACGACAGCATTGTCTTGACTACCATTGGCCAATTTGGCTTTCAATCAATTCATCTTGTAGCCAACAATCTCAGGTGTCAGGCAATGTGTCGGACTTCAAGGTTCCTCCCACTGTTCGAGTGTATTTTTGAATGCGTAAGAGAGGAAGACGAAGCCTTTTCACGGGGATTACGCGCTATATCTATATAAATAATAGCTTTTCTGCAAACATTTCAATATCTGTAATAAATCCTATTTATAGCAAGATTTAAAGCCAAAAAATTATATAATTTGATTTTTGGTGTAAAAACATTGATAATTTGCATGTTAAACACTTTGGCACAGTTGGCACAAAAATGGACCACTTGTGCCGAATGTGCCCGTTAGTTACAAAAAAGCCCCCTGCATCAAAATGATTCCACCTAAAGGTCTAAAATTTCATACAGGTGTTGCCAACACCACAAACATCTGCTCTGGTGAGTTTGAACAACATACCATAAAGTATGTCTTCAGGAGAACCTTTTGAAATTGCCTTTTTTTTTTTTGAGACAAAAAAAACTAAGTTTGACTTATGTTTGAGAAGCTGTAATGCAAACTGTGTCCTTCCTAAAAAACTGTAAAATACATTTCCAGAAACTAGAAGGTGTTACCTTTCAAATGAGGCCTCATAACACAACATCAGACACAAGATGTCCACACAATAGGCATTTCCATTTGGGTATCATAATTTGAGAAGGAACAGGCGAAATTAGGTGATCCTTGTAAGAATGAAACAACAAGGAGCAGTGATGCGCATGGTTTAACCTTTAAACGCTCAACTCTCAATAACATATTTGAGGAAAGAGACTACTTTATATGCTAAGAGCCACCAAAAGCTTCCTAGCAACCGTTGTCATGATCGAACTGAAGACGCACAAGAGATAAAACACTACGTTTGCTCAACCCATGACAAAACCTGTTTGGCAACTTAATTCAATATCCTGTGGCACAATAGAAATTAAGTTTTTAAGATATAAGATAAGATATTCCTTTATTCGTCCCACAGTGGGGAAATTCAGTGTTGTCGTTGCGCACATTACAGCAGAGAAAGAAGAAGAAGAAGAAGTAAATAAGAGCACTCAGAACTTAAATTAAATGTTTGTGCTCAACCTCAGACGAGATACTGTGATGTGAGAGATATGGAAACTGTAATTAAAATGAGGTTTAAACAAAATTAATCAATTGGAGTTTGCCATGGAATCCTCACTGACCATGATATGTAGTATTTTCTTTCACAAAGCACATCAAACAACAGCATGGACGTACCTTTGCGACCCTGTTGGCCACCTCTCTGCCCACCATCAGGCCCTGCACAAAGGTCCGTGCCGCGATGAAGGCCTTGGTCACCATGGCCTTCAGTCTCCTCGGTACATCCCCAAACGGCTTGAGCTCGTCCGTGTATTTGTTCACGCACTCCAGGTAATCGTCCGTGAAGTGGTACTGCGAGTTGAGCAGCTGAAACATGCGCTCCAGCAGCTTGGACCAGAAGTCGTTGAGCATCTCCTCCAGGTTCACGTTGCCTCCGGTGTAGTAGCGCTTCAGCTCTGTGAAAAGGTCCTGGAAGATGTCCGAGTTCTGGATGTAGAGCTTTCCGTAAGTTTGCTTGAACATGCCGTTTAAGGACTTCGCCGAGGTGTCCAGCAACTCCAGGAAAAATTCTGAAAGAGAAAGAACAAACAGAAAATAAGTTTTGTATAATGGCTGAAGTACAACGTAAGACACTCTGGTCCGTTTGTGTTGTTGTTAAATTATTGTTTTTAACTTATTTTAATGGCACAGTGGCTGAGTGGATGGTGCTCTTGCTTTTCAGCAGGAAGGTTCTGGGTCCGAATGGAGTTAACATGTTCTCCCTGTGTCTATCCTCTGGGTGTTCCCGTCGCTAAAAAACATATACAATATTTCAGGGTGGGAGTGTGAATGTGGAACAACAGATGCAAATAACAGTAAAAAAACACATTTGCAGCATCCCTCAACTCATTTCTCAGATATTATTATAATATTATATATTATAATCCTTATTCATTTGGTCACAGCTTTCACAGCCCATTTTTCCGTAACAACGAGCTCATAAGAGCCTATATATATCACACACACACATAAAATAACAAAAAAATCATTAACCAACAACAATAATAATGCTTTTTTCGGGAATTTTCCAGTTGTCAATGAGAGCCATATCGAGGATCGAAAATATTTTATTCTTATTTAGATGTATCTGCAGAAAAACAACCTAACCTTTTTAACACTTTTGTACAGGGTCTGAATCTGGACTGGATTATCATACACAGATATGCACTGAAATAGAGAGAAAAGGTTTCAGAAGGGTTCATGTGATCCATTATGACTTTCACCTTCTGTTCACTTCCTTTCACTTGTCCCTGTTGTCCCTGTTGTCCCACTCCCCTCTGCGGCCAAGTCTGTTTCAGAGAAGAGACCCCGAACCCCCCACCTCTTCATATCTGTCCTCATATGCAGGATGAGGATAAGTGGACTGACTCATCAGACCTGAGTCAGTCCTGGACTCATACACAGCACACCCGCCCAGGGAAGTGGATCTCCCCACGCCAAAAACAGAGGGTCGAAGGACAAAGGAGGAATTAGAACATTTATCCATTTGCTTAAAGCTGGACTACAAAATATTAGGGCCAAAAACTAGTTTAAACAGGCATGCATTTTTGGCCACTGTCACATCTTTAGAAAAGCTTTATCAGAAAAACAGAGTACCACCCTCTCTCAGACAATCAAATCTCAGTATGTAAAAGATCAAGATCGGAATAAGATGAAGACTGATTTGTTCATAAAAAGTTTCTGAAACAACACTCATTCTGCGGCTATTTACAGTATGAAACACACAAAACAAGTTGCTTTGGACAATTTTTGACCAATGACTGATTTAATTGTTTGACTTTTGAGATGATCACGGCGCTGTGATTTTGAGCTCTACAAATACACATAGTTTTGATATGAGTATATGAAAAGATTATTAAACTGCTTTTTCATAATACATTTTTCTCTGTTTGCTTGTTAGCTGCTGGCACAAAACATATAAGGCAACGTATAGGAGATTTCCAAAAGGTACAGTACATGATTATGTGAAAAAAGCTAGTCCAAAGCATTAATAATTGAATAGTAGAAATAATGGGCCACATAGACGATGAATGATTAATGCAAAGGTTCTGATTGCATATTGTAACAAAATATTCATAAGATTTAGACACAGACACAAGTGCACTATGCATCATCATCAGAAGCTGCAACTCCTATTCCCATTAGGTCCATAAATGTTTGTTTGTCCAAGGCTTGAGATGGGTCTTAATTCAATATTAGGTTGCATTCAGAGTGCTTTGAATAAGCTCGAAACATAATATTCAGCTTTTAGAATAAGCGTGTCCTTCTGATAATATCTTGATGATGAGCTTAGGTCAGTTTGTGATGGAATTTATAATCATTGCTGCTCACTGCCCATTTAGGACACAAACACAGTGTAGTGGGAATTACTATGCAATTAATATTATATTCACTTTTACTTTAGTATTACCTGTTTTGCTGTTTAAAAACCTTTTTATTGGTGAAAATGTAAACATAAAAGATAAGTGCAAACATGTAAATTAATACAAAAAGACAGCAACGAATAACCAACAGTGTTGAGGCATGTGTTTCAGTAAAAATAAAAATAATAATCATATAGAAAATAACATGCTCAAAAAATAACAACAATAATATCAAACAACTGTCTTAGATGGGCGGCACAGTGGTTTGCTCTTGTGCTTCACTGCACCACTGTATAGAGTTTGCATCTTCTCCCTATGCAGGTTTCCGCTGGTTTCCCCAACTACTAACAATAACAAAAAACAATAGGTGCGGCAGTGGCTTGTGTATGGAAACCTCGCTGCCACCGCCGTGTGAGTGAGGGTAATAATGCCCACAACAAGTCATTTTCAATATCAGCAACATGAGATTATTTTCTTCTTTCTGCTTCCGTTCATTTGTGTGACAGAACTACCATTATTTGAAATGTAATTGTAAAATGTGATGTATTGTCATGTCCACAAGTGAAAAAAATGAATAAAATGTCATCAAATTGTGTTTGTTCCATTAGCCAACAATCATGTGTAATACATATCACTATGACTACTAAATGAAGGTTATATTAGCTTGAATTACTTATTAGACACGTTCTCATTTACCATTTCTCATTCACACTGTGCAGAGCCTCTTAAAAACATAAGACAAAAGGTGATTCACAATGTACTCTTTTACAAATTAAAAGCTTTTTCCCCAAAACATTTCTTTCCTTAGCATCTAAGGAAATCCAGCTTTACTGTATTTCTTTATTAGTGTCAAGTGTCTTTCTTCCATTATTCTGATCTCTGGGGTGAGAACAACGCCAGCAAAGAGAAAAGTAGAAAGAGACGTGTTATCCGGGGAGCGGCGTTGAAGCTTGGCTAATAGGATCCCATGTCTCCAGTTCAGAAGCATAAATACAGCGGATTGGCTCTGTATGCACTAAATGTCAACTCCTCTCCTCCATCTTTGTAAACAAGCAGACATTCAAATGGAGAGCTGCTTATTAATAAGGCACTCTCTCGGGCGCTATACTGCTATGATATTGTGGTTTGGTGACATTTTCGTGAATAGTTATTGGCAGTGTTGGGACCCAAAAACACGCTGGTCACAGTCGGCTCTCCTCAGTGCTAATCTGAACCATGTGGTGTGAGTAATGTGCTCGCACGCAGCCTGGTGTCAGCACAGCGGGGCTCTGCTGTCACCAGTCCCACAGAAAAAAAAGTGATAAAAAATAAAATAACTTTCCTTTTTCAGTTTGTGACATCTATACAATTGTAAAGGAAGTGGTCGTCAACATTTAAAGTTCCCATAGATTCATGTGATTGTAAACGATGACTCATGTCCAGAAACTAAATATGAATCTGTATTTGGCCTCAAGTCAGAGTCCACTCCCAATGACACATTCTTTCTAGTGTAGAGCGCTTTCAATCGTTATACACATTCATCAAACAGAATCTGCTCTATAAATTTTGTTTTTGTGGTTCCATGGTCACCGTGTGTGGAGTGAGTGACAAATTGCCTGCAGCTCTTTGTGACCTTGGTCAGTGCAAAACGCTGTATAAATAGAGATGATTGACTTACCTACTTACTTAAAAGAACATATAATTTATAGAGGATAAGCATCATGCTACAGTTCAACCGTTGTATCTGGTGGTAAATAATGCCGGCAAATATGCAATTTTTTTTCAGTTTACAGTATCTGCTTTTTATTTCTCCTCGTCTTTTTAGCCCTCATCCCAACACCACAAATAAATGTTGTGTGCACTTCAGTCCAGATGCTGCCAGTTGGATACCAGTCAAATAGACATCCCAGGTTGGTTGTGGGCAAATTAACCTTGGACTATAAAAGCTGGCTTACATTTGATGAGCTAAAATGTAGGTTAGGACATGTGGTGCATGTTCAATTTGAATAGAAGATTTCATATTTGATCAGTTTAAATGAGAGAATTACACAACCCCACAAGTCTTGTTTAAAAAATCTATATACAATCATAGAGGGCGTGTGTATAGACATTGGGCAACCACCTCCTTTGGACTTTATTTGTTATTATCTCATTTCTGTGAGTGTTTTTCTGATCTATTTTTGAGGAATTGTCAATGTTGTAAAGTAAGTGAGTAATCTTGATTGCAACTTTCACAGACCGCAGAGTCACAAAGCGCTTTACAATTGTGGGCATTTGTCTATCACTCCTGACAGAGATGAAAGCGCCAGTGCAGATCTACAGATCACTTTCCAGATCTACTGTGTATGTTTTTGGTGGTAGGGGAAACCGTAGCACCCGGAGGAAACCTACGCAGACACAGGGAGATACATACAAACTCGACTCAAAAAGACACTGTTAACCGGTATGCGAACCCAGCACCAGAACCCAGTCCTCCGAGACGACTTCTGTTGTGTTTTTGGGATATACAAAAATCCATTGAATTGAATTGAAGATCATGGTATACATTATAAGCATTCAAGTTCTAAAAGTAAAGTTAAAAAGGTAATTGTTCATGTCTAGTGAAACAGCCCCAGCTTCAACGACTCCCTCCGCCTGTGGTAAAGTCAGGCTGAAGTCTCCGGAACGCTTTGCTCCTGGTGGCTAATATTACAACATGTGGGTTAATTGGAGTCAATCACTAACTGCATCAGGGCACGTACAACAAAGGGGCACCTTGTGTGTACTTTCTTTAGCAAATTGTAACTCCTTTATATTTAGTTTGCGCAAATGGCATTGGACTTTACTCTTCTGAGGAGCGTTTTTCCCCCTCACTCGGGTTAAATGATCTATCAAGCGGTCCCTGGTCAGTCATTCCAGTTTACTCTCAGCTGAGTGACCCGCCATTACAACTACATTTGTTTAAATACCGGGAGCCTGCAGGGCCACGCTTTTTTTCAATTTTTCCTAATTAGATTTGAATCAAGGACATTGAGGCCCCAGTGGATTGGCCCGCAGTTCTGTTCTAACAGCTTTGTGGCTGTGATGGAAAAGGGGAGGGGCCAGAGCTATTAATATAAAGTTCTTGCAGAATGAGGATAACATCTTTCTCTATTGAGTGCAGTTTGTGAAGTGTCTGTGAGCTGTGTGGGGAAATCAAGTGAAATAAG